TCATCTCAATTTCTCAAGCCTCTTTGTCAGTTGGCATCAAAATAGCACTGATCCAAAAGGAGGTGTGACAATGGTTAACCTCCTGAACCCTGAACACAAGACAGGAGCAGCTGGGGTTCACTGAAGTTCTGACTGCTACATGCAATTACTGGGCCAACTTCTCTCCTCCCGCCTCTACCCACGCTCTCCTCTGTTAAAGCAGTGCATGGGTTGGGGGTATCCTTTGATTGCTGGAGGCAACTTCACAGAGCACTCAGAGATAAAATTGGCATAAAAAGTACCCCGGAATTGGAGCCAGAGGTTCTTGATCCCATCCTCAGCTCCACCATTTGCTTAGTGGTATGACCTGGAGAACAAAGCTTTAAGCCTTTCCTCTCCTGTTAAACATGGGTCATAAAACTTACCCTGCTTATCTTTTAGGATTGTTGTATCCTTCATCATTTTCTTGTAGGAATTTTGTAGTTCATTCTGTCCTCAACAACTTATATTGGCTTTCATAGTGACATGCATTGGTACAAAAAATCAGAACTCTAAGCCAAGAGATGCTTTATCTATAGGAGAAGCTTATATCGCTAAATGCCCAACCCTCTTATATGACCATGTTCAGAGCCATTAACCTCAAACCCGGAGGTGTGCTGCAACAAGTAGGGAACCCAGACCTTCCTGGCAACCATTTTAGGGTTATTGCTATGACGGGGTCTTCTTGACCACTGGTCATTCTGGAAGTCACCAGGGAAGACAGCTGACATGTTTCCTGAGCCTCGAGCAGGCTATGTTCCAGCCTCTGCATCCTCTTGGCTTCATGGTAGATAGTATCTGCTGTTAGCTCCTGGTAGAGTTCACCTCAGAGTCCTACCAACTCTTGTGATCTCTCCCTTGGTATACAACTCCAATAGAAAAGATATATATATATTTTATATTTTAAGAATTCATCAAAAGAAGCCATCTATGTTTACTCAAGTTCTTTTCTATCTGTGGCCATTTAGCCAATTTGAGGAATAGATAAATTGCTCCTGATACCTGCAAAAATAAAGTCCATAGAATCATAACAGCAGATGGTTTTATTCCTCTTCTCTGGTTCAGCCTTTTGAGCTAATACAGAGCTAGACTCATCTTCTTGTCTCTTGGTGATAATTATCCAGGTGCTGAATTGCTCCACCATCCAAGGAGTTTGTGTCTATGGATAAGGATTCTTTCACTCAACATTTTTCAACCAACATTTCTAGGCATACCTGGAAACTTTGCTCAATTGGACCTACACCTACCTGATGGCTGTCATCTCCTTGTTCTTGAGCCCTGGGCAGGGTGTGAAGTGCGACAAGAACTCCCCTGCAGAGGTAAGCTTGACATGCCACCTTACATTTCTCTCAGTGACTCCAATGCCCAATGTGCTCTCTAGCGGACCTTGAGGATCTGAATGTTCAGTTGAAATAAAATCTCTAGTGGGCATAGCAGTCTCTGCCGGATTGTTCCCCCAGAAAGTCCCTTATTCTCACTTGTATAGTGCTATGTGTTTTTACTCTACTGGTCAGAACACTGAAGAAGAGGGAATAACTGCTACTAGAATTTCCCCTTCAAAAACATCATTGTCACCATGGGTCATTGTCAATATCATTATTATTACCATTATCACAACTACCACAAGAATCTGTGGGTTCTGGCTACAGCCTGTCATCTCCTACTCCCTTCTCTAGGCCACATATCACAGAGAGTATCTGCTGTATCACTCTCTGTTTTATTTCATCTCCTAGCATTTTCTCCCATGGACAGACAGTTCTTCTAGGAAAACACAAAGCTGAGAGTCTCACTTTGCTGCCTGACTCAGTCTAAGATAGTCATGCCACCTTACATTTAGTCTCAGAGTTTAGTCTCAGAGTTTCAGCCCTAAAGGTGGAAAGAATAGTCCTTGCTCCTAGGGACATACTCTGAAATGGAATTAACTCCAATTATAACTTTATAATTTTTTTGGAGTTAATTCCATTTATACATCAATCTATTATCTGATTTTTTTGGTGAGGTCACCAAAAGTTGTTAGGGTCCCTATGTGTTCCCCTCCTACCCCATGGCTATTTCCAAACTGTCACTGGATTATCTGAGCAGAGTGGATAGAGTATATGGCTTTGTGTCCTGGGAAATTATTCTTTCCTAAAAGCAGGGAAGAGGAGAAATAATGTGAGAACTCTAAGTGTTCATCCCAGAAAATAAAGGACTCAGTGTCACATGCATACCAGAAGAGAAAGAGTTAGTGAAATAGAAATTGGCTGGAGGGAAAGCAGGCAGGGAGAGAGGAGCCAAACAAGAGACAGAGGAGGAAGTAGTGGCATGGAACCCTGCTCAGAGAGATGCTGGGAGCAAGAGAGACCAGAGCCCCATATAGGCCAAAGCAGGAGTGCTATGGCTCAGAGCCCCAGGGGGGTGGCTCCCTCTATAAAACAGGGTCAGGTATACTTGAAGTCATAGGTGGCATCTGTAAGTATCACATAAAGGAAGCCTTGAGACTCCTGATGTAAGAGGGCCAATGGAAAGAAAACTGGACTATGAGTCAACCTTGCTTCTAAGCTCAGCCAAGTACCTTGAACTGATTACTTCACTTCTCTGAACCCAATGTCTCTCAGTTGCAAAACAAGAGAGTTGTTCTGGTTGACTGCATAGTCTCTTCTATGTTCAGAGCAGACCTGTAATCTGTAGCACTATAAGCAGTAGACAGTATTTATGTTCATCTCTCTCAGCCACACTGTCCCTGGGTGAGAAGAAGCAAACTTCTCTGCCCTACAACCCTATTGACATTGGGCTTTTTGGTGGCTGCATTGGCCATTGAGCTGTCTGCAGAAGGGACAGTATTCTAGTTATAAATAGAAGCTTTGAGAAAATTTCCACAAATCCTCTTGTACTTCTGCACTTGGCTAGAAGAGCACATCTTAATCTTAGTAGTCTCAGCTCCTTTAGCCCAGGTCCCAACATGAGTAGACACTGGGAGTGGGCCTGAATGCAATGCACAGCCAGCAGCTAAACCAAGCCAAGCTCAGCAGAGTCTCTCTCTTTTTAATTTTTTTAAGTGAATCTATCTCTCTCTCTCTCTCTCTCTCTCTCTCTCTCTCTCTCTCTCTCTCTCTCTCTCTCATTGTACATGGACACAATACCTTTATCTATCTATCTATCTATCTATCTATTTATTTATTGATTTTTATATGGTGCTGAGGATCAAACCCAGTGCCTCATATGTGCTGGTGAGTGCTCTACCACTGAGCTACAACACCAACCCACCAGCAGAGTCTTAACTACCTCACAAACCCATGAAAGGGAAATGTTTGTTGAAGAAACTGTGATTTGAGGGAATTTTTTTTGTTACTGCAGCCAAACCTAACTAATACACTACGTGACAGGAAAATCACAGAAGCACACCTCAGAAACAGACCTTATGTCTACCTGAAGGAGAAAACTAATACACTACATGACAGGAAAGTCATAGAAGCACACCTCAGGAACAGGCCTAATGTCTACCTGAAAGAGAATGAAGGGCAGCTGGAGGAGCCCCCACAGGAAGCCCCTCTACTGTTCTCACCTCCATGCCAGAGCTGCCATAATCCTCCATATGGAGACACCTGGCTTTTGGCATTAACAACCCAGACCTCAGCAGGAGTAGGGAGAGAGTTTTATGGGATGGGAAAGTAGATTTGAATGCATCAATGTCAAATTCCTCCCTATTCATAGTCTTTTCTTTTCCACAGTCCTTCACACCTGGGCTGTCTGTTTCTCTCACTGCATAGAGGCCATAATTACAAGGCTCTTGAACTTGGGGTTGATATATTGATTTCGTTAGCATAGAGAGGCAGAAAGATGGCTTAGATAAATTCACAAGTTCTAGCATCACTGGTCTGCAGCTGTTGCTATCAGTATGCCAGTCTTTTAGTCTTTCTGATTCCTCCTATTAAAGAACCCCAAAGAAACTCACATCAACATTATCCTAGCCAAATTCTAACTAATAGATGTTTTCCTGCCAAACAGAGAAGCAGAGTGTATTTAATATAATACACACACTAGTGCCCAGAGAAGACAATCATGGAATGCTAATGCTCCCAGTCCTGTTGCATAGGGAATACCAAGCATTCCAGGTTGGGAGGTATAGCCAGGACTTACTCATGCTTCATTTCACTCAGAAAAGCCAAGGCCCTTCTCTAACTCCTCAGTTGCTTGGACCAATCCTTTGAGGTTGACAGCCATAATTATCTATTGGGACAAAAAGGACCCAGCCCTCCACTAGTCATGGTAGAAGAGAAAAAGGAACATGACAGGGTAAGAGAAGAAGCAAGAAGTAAAGCAATGGATTCCAAATTCTTCCAAAACACCAAAGCTTTTTAAACAAAATCTTTCCTGAAACAGAAATATATGTAAATAGATAAAAGTACAAAAGCTCAGGGTGAAGCAGTGGTGAGGATTCAGAACCTGTCTGTGTAGCATTCTGTTTCCTACTTTCAAATATGGTTTCTGGAGCTGTGTGTGAAACCCCAGAACTACACACAGTTTGAAAACCACTAGACTGGAGAAATTTAGAGCATTGGAGTAGGATTATATAAACTAGGGGAGGAGTGAGACAAATACCATGACAGCTATTTCTGAGCATTTTGCTGGGAAGAGAATGGAATTGTATAGACATCTCTTGTCATGGCAGGGCAGCCAAGGGGCACATAACAGAGAAGAGGCTTTCCACAGCCTGCCTGAGGCAGATGGACTGACCAACTGACCTCTCACATCTTACCTGCAAGCCTCCTTATCCTTGTCTTTAGCTGGGCAAGACAGATTTACTTGAGTATGTTTTGATCTTTCTTCCCTGTCCTGCTTCCTCCCTCTCCTATCTCAACTGTGGCCTCTCCTGAGCTCACAGGTCTTGAACTTGGAGCCATTTCTGCTTTGGCTTCCCAGGGGATGGGATCCTGAGGGTTCTGGCTACCTCATCAGCACATGGCTCCCCACCTCCCTTGAAGACAAGCCCACAGACCCACCTATGCACACCACGTCCATGAAGCCATACATCCCGTAGCAGATCTGGAAGAGGAGGTCTTGGCGCTGCCATTTTGCTGAGGGACTGAAGGTCGACCAGATGAGCCAAGAGATACTGGCGATGAGGAAGAGGGAACCCAAGATGGCGGCCGCAATCTGAACCTTCTCGATGACTGTCAGAGAGATAGCCTGCCACTGGGAAGGAGAGAGTGGCAGGTTAGCTGTTGCTTGGATGCCCTTACCCATTTTAATCCTTCTTCCATCTTCTGCTCTAACAGTTCACCTCTGATATTGGATTTAAATTAGAGCTTCTCAACTTGTACTATAATGAATATTTTTGCAATTTTACATTGTACTTTTGATGCAGAAGAAAACCACATCCCATGAAATGATCACAAATTTTGTAAGGAGAGAGTTCTGGGCAGGCATAGCTAAGAAGAAGATCCTTATATATTTGATTATTAAACAGACAGAGAAATGGGAAGGAGAAAAAGAAAATAGACTAAGTGTGGCTGGTGATTCAGGGCCTCAGAATCTTCTTTTCAGAGCAACACAGTTTATTTTCCCACAAATAGGTTTTGAAAGGGCACAGGTCACTCTCCTGCCTGTTTTGTTTCTACATCACCATCCTGCATGCCATTTAATATACACGCTAGAGATTACCAATTCAATAGGTAAGGAGAAAACAGGATATGGGGGAGAAATAAGAAAAATAGTTTATAATTTACTGAATGTATATTAATACTGATATTTCTTTTTCTTTTACAGAAAAAGTACTATACTTATAGCAGTACTGATGGATGAATTGAAGGGTGTGGGTGAGTTTCAGCTTTGGAATTTTATGATTCCACAGCAGGTCCAGGGAGTACTTGCTTAAATAAGCCAAGAGTTGGATTTCAGTTTTGGGCTTATTTATTTATGTTGTCACTCAACGACTATGTGTTAAGTAACTTCCATGTGTCTGGCCACTGTTCTAGGTGCCAGCGATAAAGTATTAGGCAAAAACAAGGCTACATCCCACCCAATGAAGCTCACAGTCTAGGAAGCATAGACAGCCCTATGAATTTACAACTATGATTCATCTCGGGTAAAAAAGCAAGTACATGGTATTGGGAAAGCCTGTGATAGGGCATTTGGCTTCCCATAGGATGATGCTTGAACTGAGTAAGAGTTTACTAGGCAAATAGAGGAAGAAAGAATATCCCAAGCAGAGGAAAGAGCATGTGCAAAGGCCCATTCAGAAGAAATCACAATACGTATGAAAACCTGGATGGAGATCAGAGTGAATGGAGGGGAGGAAGCAAGAGACTGAGGTGAGACAATGGCGAAAGGGAAGACCATGCAGAGTCTTGTAAAATATGTACAGATCTAGGACTTTGCCTAAGAGTACATGTAATGCGTGAATGGTTTTTAGGTATAGCTGACAGGATCAGATTTGGGAAGGTGGAGGCAAGGAGATCTCCTGATTAGAGGGGTATGTACAGTGCCCTACTGGGAATACCCCCAGGATGCATTGCCATCTGAGCAAGAGGACAGGCCCAGCTCCTGTGAACAGGGAGCCCTCACCTTACCTTCAACGACCTGGAACAGGCACCGGCCAGTGGCCTCCTGAGAAATCGTAACCATTGGGAAACATTGAACTTGCTAGTCCAAATGTAGGACATTGGCCTTGACCTTTAATGATAGAGATAGCATCCCATTACAGGGAATTGGGCCTTTAAACTTTCCACTGCATCTCCCAGCCTAGGGTTACACAAAACAAAGGAGATTTCCAGAAGGTGGCCCTATCACATAGACTTCTCTTGTGAACAACAAATGCTTTCCCCAGGGTCTGCCCCACTGCCTAGAGGGAGAGCTCCTGAGTGAGCATTTCCTGTTTACCATTGAGGCATCAGTAAACCTCAACTTGTTCTATTCCTCTAGACTTCAAGAGCCCCAAATATAGAGGCAAAAAAATCTTCCTCATCCCTGACCTCTTCTACCACCCCTAAGTCACCTGCAGAACCTAGGAGCCTAACAGGACTCCTGACCTCAGTGTGAAGCATGATGAAGGAACAGATTGGGGTGCTATGGATAAGAACTCTCCTCCTATGCCTTCCATGTGACACCCCACAGAGGCGTGACGGAAGCCACTCCAAGGAGAGAGCTCTGAAATCTCAAAGGAAGGCTGGGAGGGGAGAGGGTATCAGTGGTACGGGCTCTGCTTCACCAGACACCTGCAACTTTGAAACCTCTGTCCAAAGATTCTGACCCTGATATCATGAGTCTTCTCCATCTTCATTCCTGCCCTGCTGCACAAGTGAATAGACAGACCAAGGGCTAGAGCAGGAAGACCATATATATAACAGATAGGGGTGTGGAGTAGGGGTCAGATGACCTGATTCTAGTTGAGCTCTGTTCAGACTTGCTGAGTGTGAGTGAGAAGCCAATAAGTCATGAAGACTATCAATTTTCTTTCTATAAAAATAGAAATAATTGGTCCTTCTTGCTTTCTAGAGTATTGTGAGGGTTAAATGAAAAAACTGTCAAGCCAGTGTATTGTTTCAGCAAAAACAGATAAGCCTGTTAAGACAGTTGTAGTCCTCAGGGTGCATGGGCACTCTGGGGACAGGTTAAGAGCCTGAGCCCAGGAGTATCTTCGGATAGCAACCCTGCTCTACCACTTAATTACTATGCAAACTTGGGAAGACCATCAAATCCCCCTGTGCCTCCATTGTCTCATCTGTAAATTGGGAATAACAGTACCCACTTTACTGGGTTGTTTTCAGGATTGAATTAGGCAATATATGTGAATATTTAGAACACTGACTAGCACCTAATAAGCACTAACTACATGTTAATTACTATACTATAGTCCCCCCCTTATCCAAGGGAAGTACAATCCAAGACCTCCAGTGGATATCTGAAACCTCAGCAGGTACTGAATTCTATATACAAGCACTATGTGTGATATCACAACAGTTGTTCTGATGACTGAGGCAGTTACTAAGTAACTAACAGGTAGGTAACATATTCAGTGTAAATACTCTGGACAAAGGGATGCTTCATGTCCCAGGCAGGATGGAGCAGGACAGCATGAGATTTCATCATGCTACTCAGAATGGGATGCAATTTAAAACTTATGAATTATTTATTTCTGGAATTTTCCATTTAAAATTTTTGGACTGCAGTTGGCCATGGTTAACTGAAACCACAGAAAGGAAAATCATGGAGAAGGGAGGTCTGCTATAATTGCAGTTTAGGTGTAGCAGCCATGGAGACTTGAGACCCACAAGGTATGCTGTGACTCCTTTCCTATGGATAATCTGGCTGGAAACATTGCTTTCAGAGAGACAGTCACTGAGGCACTGCTGCATGGAGAATAGTGGTGCTATTTCCTATAGCTTTGTATGTGGCACAAACCAGGAGCTGAGAGATCCAGGAGACCTAGAAGGAACATGACCCTCAGAGAGCAGACCCTTTGCTCTGCTTGCTTGTGATCAGAGCTGCCAGCCCCATCCTGTTCTACAGATGATCCTGCCAGTTTGTGGGTGCAGAGGTTGTCCACTGAAGCTGAGGAGGCAGCGGTCTCATATGTGGATAGGCCAGAAGAGAGACCAGGTCACATAAGTGGGACAGTTTGGGCCACAACCACACAACACAACTTCTAGTCCAACTACTTCTTCTGCGAAAGGGAAACAGCATTTACTGAGCACACACCAATGCTAAGAACCAGCAGAACCAGAGGGGTCATCAGGGTCCAGAAACTCACAACTGAAGGCAGGGTAGTAACTTGAGAATGGATTAATAGGCCATTACTGCCAATGCTTCCACTTGCTTATCTGACTTACATGATGGGAATAAGCTGTTCTTTTTCACCCTTAGGAAAAGGCTATTCCTGAATGGCTTTTCATTATATGAGCTAGGGGTGGAGCCAAGAGGGGGGTACTTTGTGCTGGGCTGATGAATTTGGGATCTGACCTTTCTTGAGGCTTGAGTCAGCTGCAAAGGAAGGAGTGGTTAATGCACTCAGACCTCCACCGGCACCCAGAGGACGTGGAATCAGCTGTCTCGTGACACTGCTATTTTAAGACACTTCAAGATTTTGAAGCAAATGGCTGAAGATGGGAGCAGTGGCAGGGAGGGGCACCTCTCATTCTGACCCTGTGGCTCACCATTAAGAGCTGAGCTGCCTGAGACTTTTAATGCCACCTTCCAGAAACATCCCACCACAGTGGGGTTCTCTTAGAAAGAAGGAAAGTGGGGAGATGCTGGAAAGACACCCACCCTGCTACATGCACATATGATATTCTCTCTCTCTCTCTCTCTCTCTCTTTCTGTGTGTGTGTGTGTGTGTGTCTGTGTGTGTGTCTTTCTCATTCATTCCTGGGAGTACCTCATGGACAACTCTACAGGGTTTAAAATAAAAAGCCCTGGACATTTAAGGGGTTCAAACTATGACTCATGCAAAGGCCCCACCCCACCCATCACTGCTGAACCCCAGCTCTCAGGGCTCTCTGCCCCCTCAGAGAGGAGGAGGAGGAATCTGTGCCTGGAGACCAAAGTCCCCATCCTCACTGTCATGCTGGCTAATTGATTATGTGGCAGCTTAATTGGCTGATCCTGCATATATGGAGGTATTTCCAGAAGCAAAAGAGCTCTCTATGTGTGTGTGCACCCTGCAGGGAGAGTTGCTTGATTGGGGGGATTGGCAAGGGTGGCGCAGGGCCTGCTACCTCCTCAGGAGAAGATGAATGCATCAGGGCAGGGCAGGAGGGGAGGCAATGGGCAGGGGGGCCCTGAGTTCTGCTGGAATCCATTTGGCAGGTGTGACCCAGTTCGGGCCCTGCCTACTCTCTCCTCTCCTGGTGGCCTTTTCCTACTCTGTCCCTTTCTCTTTCTTCCTTCCTTATTTCCCCTCTCTTCTCTGCCTCCCTCTCTTGTCTCCTCTCCATTTTTCTCTTTGTTCCTTGTCACAGGAAGTGTGTTTTGAGCCAGCTGCGACAGCATCACCCAATAACTTGTAAGAAATGCAGATTCTCAGGCCCTGCCTCAGACCTACTGAATCTGAGTTGGCATTTTGACAAAATTCCAGTTACATTAAAGTTTGAAAAGGGCTGCTGAGTTTTCTTGCTGCTATTTCTTCTTTTCCAGCCCTGGACTTAACTCGGCCCTTCTTGCCCTTCCCACCCTGTCTTTTCCCCATGTCTAGCTCTCTTCTGCCTTTTAGCCTTTCTTCACTTCCTTCCTTGTTTTCCCTCCCTCCATTTTTTTATTTCTCTCTTTCTTCCTATCTCTTTCCTTCTTGACTTCCTTCTTCCTTTCTTTCCCTATTCACTTTTTTTTTTTTTTTTGTACCAGGGATTGAACCCAGGATCACTTAACACTGAACCACATCCCCAGCCCTTTCTATGTTTTATTTTGAGACAGGATCTCGATAAGTTGCTTAGGACCTCACTGAGTTGCTGAGCTGGCTCTGAACTCGTGTTCCTCCACCCTCAGCTTCCCAAGCAGCTGGGATTACAGGTGTGCACCACTGGATTTAGCTCACCATTCACTCTTCAATTCACCCACTGTCTGTCTTATTCTCTCTCTCCCATCAGATTGTCCTGGCTCCTTTTCTTCTACATCTATTTCCCTTTTGCCCCGTCCCTTCCTCTTATTGCTGATGCTTAAGAGAAAAAAATTTTTGAATCTTTTATTACCTCCTGCTGGCAGGCCTCCCCTGAGCTCCAAGCTGCTCCAGGTTCCAGTGCCCTCCCCACTCCGCCCCAGGCCCCAGGCTCACCTGTAGAGGGTTCTTTGTGCTTATGGCAATGACGTGGTACTTGTAGTAGCACAGCTCACAACTCCAGCAACCCCGCTCGCTGATCCATTTGATGAGGCACGGCTGGTGCGTGCACTTGACTGAGCCATCGCAGCGGCACGGGCTCAACAGCTCCCCCTGCAGGGAGAGAGGCAGAGGGTGGTCAGGCCTGCGCTGGAGTCTGGGGGAGAGATGGGTGGATGGACCTGGAACACTGGTTTGAGCCACCCAGGTAGGTCAGACCAGGCCACCACGACCAGACCACAGGCTTTACCTGGAGTAACTAGACTCCACAGAGGAGGCCCAAGCACCAGCATCCCCACCATGGAGGCCTAACAGCTTCAGTCAGCTCCACTGCCAGTTCTGAGACCCTGTCCCCAATTGGTAAGAATTCTTGTACTGTCCAAGTCTTAGATTGCTATGAACATGAGTGGGTTAGTTTCTGTGGAAGCCTCTGCAGTCTAAAAGGGGTGTCAGGCTCCTTGAATTTCCCTTTCAAAGCCTAGTCCAGGGTCTTGGATTCAAATGCCCTCCAGGCCAGAAAGGCAACAGAAGTGAAGGAAGACAGCTGGTGTGAATTGGAGGGCTCAGGTCTAAGTTTGAAGGACAACTGTCATCAACTCCAGCCAGCTGAAGAAGTGCAGTCTTGTGGGAATCTTGTGTGTGCAAATGTGTGTGTGTGTCTGTAGGATATTGAACCCAGGGCCTCATGTATACTAGTGAAGAACACTACCACTGAACTGCACCCTCATCCCTTCAGGGAATCTTTATGCAAAACCTCTCAATAGTCTAATGTTAACAAGGATGCAGGTTTTTAAAACATGTTGTGAGGGTCATTTTGCCTGAATATAGAGTCTTGTGTTGAGCATTTGCATTCTCCTGAGGCCAATGCATAGAAACCTAGGTTCTTCAATGAAGTCTCTCAAGTAAGAAAAATATGGGATAGGCCTGCATCCTGGGAACCCTGGGAACCTCAGAGGTTGAGCCAGTGCCCTTCCTGAAGGCTGAATCACTCCAGTCAGTCTTGGCAAAAATGGCAAAAGCCCAGCCGGAGGGCACAGGATGCAGGGACGCAAAGGACCTAGACAAGCTAGATGGTGTCCGGATTTGGAACCCTTATGAGTGGGCCGGAGAGTTGGGCTCATTCTTCAGAGCTCCCTGTGATATCTCAGATAACTGAAGCCTGTGTCTCTACACCATCTGATGTGACCTTAAAGGGTCTCCGTGAGCCTCAATGCTCCTTTTCTCTCCCCTCCTTCTTTTGATCTGGCTTCCTTTGTCTGTCCTCTTTCTCCCTCCTAGCTCAGGGTCCACCATGTTTGATCACTAAATCCCCATCCTCGTAGCTCCTCCATTTACCTTCCCAGAAACATTAGCAGTTGGGGCTACCAACTCCCCAACCTTGCCCATGGCCTCCTCCTCCTTTGATCTTCATGCCTCCACCCCCAGTTTATTTACTTTAAATCCAGCTAAAATAAATGCCTCACTCCTATCAAAGGATCTCTAAGAAGCTGTGTACAACCAATCCCTAAACCTCAGCTGGTGTGTTTGAGAAATGGCCACTTGAGCCACATCCCTTCAAATGTGGAAATTTTGCCATTCATGCAACTATATCTTGTTCCCAGTAATGAACAAGTAAGTCCAGGATCTCCTGGTCTCCAAGTTTTAGATTTCCATTTGCATATTTAATCATGTTCTTTGCTGCAGACTGTAGAACCAGCCATTTCCTTCCAAAATTTCTGGAATCATCTTTCCCTTCCAACTCCTGTCACTCAAAACCCTATCCTTGGCCTGGATGAGAGCTAAAAAAAAGTCATTTTCTACATGGTCTACCTGTCAAACTGCTACTCTGTCATCAAGATGATTCTAATGCTACCTCTTATGGGGAGTCATTCCTGACCTCTCAAGGTTGAGTTAGTACTTTGATCTTTTATTTTTAAATGCTATTGTATTTTTTATATCTTTTTTTTGTGGTGCTGAGGAAGGAACTCAGTACTTCACACATGCTAGGCAAGGGCTCTACCAGTGAGCTACAACCATAGCCAGTACTTTGATCTTTAAGTGTCATATGCATATCTTTAAGTGACTTTGGCATATCCCTGTTAGAGTACTTAGCACATAACTATATGTGTCTGCATATACCTCTCTATGCACTAAATGACTCAGGGAGGAAGGAGTAATGTGTACATCTTTGTACTTGTTTCCCCTGGTACCAAGCTCTACACCAGAAGGTCCTCCACAGCTTTTTGTGGTTTGAGTAAATGAAAAAATAAATCAGTGTCTTCTCAGGTTTTCTGCACTTCCCACTTTGTGAGAATGGGAACCATGTTCATCTTACGCCTTTTTCAGTGCCTTGACACTCCCTGTATACATGTATAATGAATGAATTTGATGGCAGAAATGTTCAGGTGTTCAACTCTATGGAACTCTCCCTAGTTCCACACTCTGCTCCTCCAATATTGAGAGGCTCCCTTTTGCTGTGGCTCTAGGCCCTTCCCATACCCCCTGTCATGGCACTCCCTCATTTGTGTCTAGGTCACTACACTGTGACTCCCTCACAGGGACAATATTTTATTCATGTCTGCATTCCTCGCACCTAGTGCAGTGCCTGGTACAGTGAGACCCTCAGTACAACTTTGACAGCTGAACATATGCATATCTGTCTGATGACCTCTAGATCCCAGTGGGCAACTATAATGTCTGGGGGAAGAAAGGCAGGAGATACCCTCATAGCTGGCCAGTCTTGATCCCTACTGGGGCCTAACAGTCCTTGGTATGGAGTGGCTGTTCTATGGCTCTGAGAATGAAATACGAGGGAGGTAGTGAGGGAGGTGCTGGAGGAGGGGCGAAAGCCCTCGTTATTCATGGCTGCATTTCCTAGGCTCATTAATTCTAACAGGATGAGCTGGGTTTGATTAATCGGGTTGTTAAACAGCCATGTCAAATTGCCGATCAGGTAAAAGACATTACTTCCGGTCCCTGGCAACGGTGCCAAGCGACAGTGAAGTCTACGCTCATTGCTTCCCAAGTAGGAAAAGCCAGGAAGGCCTGCTGGCTGGGCACAACTGAAAACCCAACCTGGGCTCCCCATCTTGGCTCTGGCTGAGGAACATCAGATACCTACCTGAAGAAGGAGGAAGCACGACCTGGCCTGGTCCCACTGTCTGGCTAAAGGCCCAAGAGCCCAGGGCTGCACTGCTTCCACTGAAGTGATTTGTTCATTCTCCCACCCCCAACTTTCCCTTGGGCTAGAAAATCCAGAAGGCAAAATGGGGACTTGCTTCTGGCACTACAGATATTAAAAAGCATCTGTGGCCAGACCACCCTAAACATGCTTGATCTCATCAGATATTAAAAAAGCAAGAATGCCAAAACTGTTAGAAAAAGTTTAGATTTAATGAAAAATGTGATCCAGGATTTTGGATGTATACAGGGAGTGAAGGAAAGAATGTACTTTAACCTTGGCATTCATACAAGTGTTATTCTTTTTGTTTAGTATTTTTTATGTATATTTGGGATATATAATATTTTTAGCACGTAGGGCTTCTAAAGGGCCTGGTCTGGTGGTCAGATGTATGTCTTCCAGAGTAATGGAAGAGGAAATGCCTGGCAGCCCCGTGGAGTCAAGGTAGACTTAATGCAGATGTTTCTACAGTAAACTCCATTAAAAGCCAAGCTTAAAAAAATCTCAAGTCAAGTGGCAGAGCTAGCTGATGTGTGGACAGAATGGCAGCCAGGCCCTTCTGACTTCAGCATCTGAGCTTCACCATATCTCTGTCCCTGTTCCTGCTGCCTCACCTGCACCTGTGCCATGGGTCTCTACCCTGTGTTTCTTTTCCAGATCCACCCAATTCCTGGTCCAGATCAGGCCACTCAGCCAAGCCTCCCACAATTGCCACTCCAGACCTGTCTCTCCTTCTGCATCATCACCCAGCTTGGCACTTTATCATTTTCAAACCTCTGGGATTTGGGCTGCTCTTACATAATCCATCAAACTGGGCCCATCAGAGATGCATGTGAAAGGTATGTTTACTAACTGCATAGGCACCAGGGTTTAGGAAAGGACATGCCCATCTGGTCCAGCTCCCAAGCTCTGGCTGTTGGGCTGGGGGGACTACCATAATCTTGTCTGCAAAGCTCAGCAAATTCTGAGGCTGAAGAGGGTTCATTAAATGCAAAGGACACCAGACACTTCCTCAATGCACTTCTCAGAGCTTTGGGTAGGAAGATTACCTGGGAATGACCAAGACAAGAAAAATGAGATCCTCCCTAGTCCCCTGCCCCCTAAGGGGCACAATGTGAGGAGTGGCTAGCATGGTTGTGGGAAAGAGATAATTTGGTTTTGAATGCCTTCTTACTACTTATCAACTGGGCAAACTTAGGCAAGCTGCTTAACCTCTCTGAAGCTCTATTTCTTTATCTTTCTGGGGCAGATAATTCTTGCCTCCTCCAAAGATGGATTACATGAGATCAAGTATGCCAAGAACTTGACGCAGCCTGGCAGAAGTAAGTCCTCTTGTTAAAAATGTTACAATTCTAATTTACATTTAGAGTATAATTTTATATTTTTCTCTACTACAACTCTATTTTATTTTCCTACTATCACTCTAAGGTAAAATCCATAAGGAGAGAGAAAGTGCCTTAAGAAAAGGGTCAAACTAGCAAGAGAGAATGGTAAAGATTAAAGAACTTTCTAGGTGAATTGCCCTTCAAGGATGAGAGATCAGAATAGAGTTCTCCTAACTTGTAGCCCAAGGCTGTCTTCTGTTTCCTTGGGATACTGAGCATTTGGGGACCTTCTTTGGGGATGCTGATCAGAACAGTGCAGACCTCTCTTGGATTGAGGTCATGCTAGAAGAAGGAGTCAGGGCAAGGTGATCTTCTAGCTCTTGCTTGCCTTGGCTATGCCTGATCCAGTGGGAGGAAGGAGAGAATGGGATAGATTCTTTTCTCTGTTAATGACACAGCAAGCTGCAGGTACAAGACTCCACTTGCTTCTCCATTCACAGATTTCTTTGTTTATTTGGGACTTGCTTTATTGTTATTTTTTTGGCCTGATTCAATCTGCAATGCTCACTTCTGGAGTCCTTAGGTTACTTAGTTGCCATGGCAGTGGCAGGTAAATTAAAGACTTTCCCTTCCAGACATTCCTGCCCCTGAGCAGAAAGAAAGAAATACAGCCTAGTGGAGCAAAGACAGCATACCATGCTGAAGTTTGCAGTTCTGGGAGATCAGAACAAAGGAGACTACAGAAACACCAGCCTTGTGGTGCAGCTTAGGGTCACATTCCCTTATTGAGTCTACTATGGTGCTTAAGATCTTAGCTCTATTCCTGGACAGACTTAGGAATACCTAGGATTTTTACAATCTATGTGACGTGGGCAAACTTAAATCTCTGGGCCCTGTTCAATCTTCCTTTATTCATTCAATATTTACCCACTATGTTCCAGGTTCTGTTTTAGGTGCTAGGCACAGAGCAATAAATGGAATTGATGAAATTCTCTTGAAGAAATAGACAATAAATGATATAACAAGTAAACCATAAGTACTCAAGATGCTGTCATGTGCTATGAAAAATAAACAGAGAAAAGGAAAGTGGACCCCAAGGGAGGAGGTACATTGAAATGCTAAACAGGATGTTATGGAAGACTTGGCCCAAAGGCGATATTTGTGTAAAGACCCGAGAAAGGCAAGGGAGAAAACCATGCAGATATCTACAGGCCAAGAATTCTGGACAGAGGGAATATCACGTGCAAATTCTCTGAGGCAGAATCATGCCTGGAATGTTCTAGGAACAAAGAAGCTTGTGTATCTAGAGTAGAGTGAGTGAGAAGAAAGGGAATAGGGGATGCGGTCATAACAGGGATCAAAAAAGTGGGTACAGATCAAAAAAAGCTTGTGGACCATCTTAAGGACTTGGCATTTATTAAGATGAGAAATTATGAATGTAAAAGCAGAGAGTTTTATAGAAGATTTCCTTGTCTCTAAGCCCACCTTCTCACCCCCTTCAAATGGTACAGTCTGACCATGTTTGACAGGATTGCATTGGCTGCTCTATTGGGAACAGACTGGAGAGACATAAAGGAAAACACAGGAGACTGTTGCAATAATCCAGGTAAGTGATGGTCATGTTTCAGACCAGTATGGTAGCAGTGGAAATGCTGAAAAATGGTCAGTTTCAATATATTTTGAAGAATTAGATGTCAAGATGTGCTAATGGAGTAGATGTAAGCAAAGCAGAAAAGTCAAAGATGATACTAATTTTGATCTGAGTATTGGGAAAGACGGAGAGTTACCTTTTGGTGAAATGAGAAAACTGAAGGAGGAATAGGTTTTGAAGGGGCTGGGGATGTGGCTCAAGCGTTAGTGCTCTCTCCTGGCATGCACGGGGCACTGGGTTTGATCCTCAGCACCACATACAAATAAAAAATAAAGAGATTGTGTCCACCAAAAACTAAAAAAATAAATATTAAAAAAAGACAACCCAGATAGTCCTGGATTGGGAATAGGTTTTGAAGGAGAGATTGGGAGCTCAGTTTTGGAAGTGTCAACTTTGAAAGGTCTATTCACTCTCCAAGTGGAGATGTCACATAAGCACTAGTGCATATTTTTCTGGAATGGAGCTGAGAGGTCAAAATAGAAACTTGAGAGTTACTGGCATAGAGATGGTGTTTAAATCCACAAGCCTGGATGAGGTAATCAAAGCTGTGAGTCTAGGTAAAAAAAGGAAGGGGTCCTGGAGCCGATCCTGGTGGGATGCCAGTGTTCAGAGGTCAGGAGAACCAGCAGAAAAGACAGAGAAAGGAAGGTCAGCAAGATAAGAACGGAATGTGATACTCCAAAAGCCAAGGAAGAAGGCAAAGTATTTCAAGAAAAGAGGGAGTCGTCAGCCTTACAAATGTTGTGCATGGGTCAAGTTGGATGAGAACCAAGAATTAATTGTGAATTCAGCAAGTTTTATTTATTATTTCTTCTGTTTTCTAGATAAAATATGCAGAAAAGTCGCAGGGCTGAGAGCAAAGATGGGGAAGAGATATTGGAGGCCTGAGGTTGATAGAAAATAGTTATCTGGGAGAGTGTAGAGAAGGTTTCATTAAAATAAAATGACTCATCTGTGAAACCAAGAGAAGAGGGTAGTAAGAGACTATAATTAGATCCATGCCTGGTACACAGTAAGTGCCCAGGAAATACTGGCTGATATCTAAGGGGTTCAATAGGGCTTGACAGATCTCCCTCTTCTAAGCCTACCTTCTCACCTCCTTTCAATGTTGATCACTTTTCTTTCTTTCTTCCTTCTTTCTGTAACACCCTCTGGCTAGTAATAATCCTAATGCTAAGAACATTTCACAGATCTACAGAACACTTCCATAGGTTTTATACCACCTGCTACCTCAATAAACCCACAAGACTAACAACAATTGTCCCCATTACAGAGAAAGATACCCACATGGTGAGGTTGTTCCTTGTTCAAACAAATGAAAGAGTAGGGCTCCCAAACCAGTTCGGTTTCACCAGGCTGCCTCTGATTTACCCAAATCATCTCTGCCCATGATGGTGTCACATGCCTTTTGTCTCTTGTCCCATCCATAGCAGCCTGTCCATCAGATCCTTACTTTCCCTATTCTGATACAAGAGATGGTCTTGCTATTTCCCCTTTTAGAAACCCAATTGTTCTTTCCTTCATTCCCCCTCTCTGATTCTATTTCTAGGCAGTGCTCATTGGCCATTAATTGATGTCTGTGTGCAGAGAAGGACAGGATGGGGTTTTCCTTTCTCTTCACTCCTTCATGGTCCCACTCTCAGAAGGACAAAGTTATTAAGACATTTAAGATAAAGTTAATAAACAGAGATTTTTGTAAGCAAAGATTGCTCTGAGATGGAATCTATATAACCAAGGAAAGACTCACTTGTTTAGTAGATGTTCTACTATGAAGGCCCACAGGATCAAAAGCTTTGAAATCAGAACTTCCCTATAGGGTAGAGCTGGAACCTGTGTGTATTGGGGTGGGGAGGAATAGGCATAGGAGTAGAAAAAGTTCGTTGGAATTAAGGAAAAGAAAAAAAAAAGGATTTCAAAGAAGGTAGGAAATTTCCAATGTCCATCCTAGGTAGTCTACAATGATAGGTAGTTGATAATGGTTCTATCACTTCTTGGACTCCCCGTATTTAAGAGACCAGCTAACAGTAAGGCTTCTCAAAAACAGACTCTTCCAATTTTATGGGCACAACCAAATGCATCCATCACATTGATCAATTATTTGTGTAGCTGTGATCTGGATTGATAAAGGTTTGGGGAGGGAAGAGACAAAGGAGAAACTCAAGTGGGGTTGGTGAATAGAAGGAAGAAGCTAGGAAACACTAGAAGATTCTATTGCCTTCTGCCTTAGGACAGCAGGCAATGATTTCTTTATTCTCCAGGCCTGGGGTCGGGAGTGTTGTGGAATTAGTGTATCCTGGTATCAGGATTAAAAAAAAAAAATGACCTATCATGGAGAACTTCTTCTCAGCAAAGATTGTGAAGGAGAGATTGGGGGTGGGGGGAGTGTTGTGATTTCTACTTTTCTACAGGATGATATGAGAATTTCCCCCTTATCTGGTACAGGCAGGCTGACTGGCAAGATGACCTCCAAAGATCCCAAATGACCAGAGATCCATTATTGCTCACAGACAAGCCAATCTGAATTCTGTGCATATTTGTCAAATAGCGTTTGGGCAGCTCTCTGTTCTCTTGCAGGAGTCCTTTCCAGCCAGTCTTTTACCATCACCCATCCTTGGCATTCACACTTCCTTCCCAGCCAGGCCATACCTGGTCTTCTTGCTTCCTCTCTCAATGGTGCCAAGGACAAATTTTGGCTTCAAGGGATTATCAGTGTCTCAATGCTGGCAGAAGGAAGTAAGAAATTGTTGAGAGATAATTTGATTTAAAAAAGAAAGTACTCTATTACTAAGAAGACCAAAAAAGATTTAAGGCCTTAATGAGCTGTAGTTATCTAAACTGAATCCAATTAACCACATAATTATTTCTAGTTCTAGTCTCATACCAGCAGCTTACTTTCACAAACAAGTGTGTGCGCTCGCACACACATACATACACACACACACACACACACACGCACACATAATATCCCTCCATCTTTGTGGAAATATAATCAGCTTATCTACTCATCATCTCAAAAAAAAAGGAATAAAAAATGAGTCAAAGAAAACAAACAGACCCAAACCACCCCTCCAAATGGGGATTTTCATTTTCAGGGTAATTATTTTATTCCTATGGTGCTTCTCTCCCTGTAATTCAACTGGTATAAGACAAATGTACCTATTCCCTGTAACTGCCTCTAAATTTACTCAACTGATACTGAGAGAAGAACTTAACCTCACAATAATTGAATTTAAATAACATCCAATTCTATGAAGTCAAACATGATCTGCATAGTAAACAAAGCATATTATATGAGGGCTGGCGGGAAGAAAGAAGGTCATATTTAATGTGTATATTCATAATCATATCTGTATTTTTAACCACTTAAAAATGCAATGTACTATCAGTTTTCTTTCTGTATAACTCATCATTACCATCTTTGTCATCTCCAAAGAGCTAAAATTAAAGGTTGGTCTTCCCTCAGCATTCTGCCTGGCTCAACCAAAAAATATAATTTAGATAAACCTTGAGTGGCCAGAACTGGGCTATTTGCATACAGTAGGCTGGGCCTGTTTCCAAGGTTCCAGGCCACTGGACTGAAATTTCAGGGATGCCAGGTCACCGTGTTCTCTTTCTGTCTTAGAAATCAGGCCAAGGCAGGACACAGTCATGTGGCAAGTTAGGGGTGAATACTCAATCGCCCCCTCAGTAGGTCTACCCTACACACAGGCAGACGGATGCCCAGCCTTAGTTTAGTTGTGCAAAACTGTCATGCTGTTCTTTGAAGAGATTGTGATGAAATTGTTCAAAATTTAATTTATTCATCATAATTAATATATCACTCAGGGACATGGCAGATGTGGCAGGTACACAGAAGCTGAGATGATGTGTTACACTTCACAATGGTCCAGATCACTGCTCGAGGCACTTAGACCTACCTCTATGGATGGCTGACTTTTACAAAGAAGAAAAAACAAGATATTTCCTGGGTGCCAATCCCAGCTCTGCCACCCTCTGGCTGGTGACTGTGGATTTAAGCCATCTAAGCCTTGATTCACTGGTTCTCGGAGTTTAGCATGCATAAAAATCATTTGGGAGCCTTGTTAAGAATCCCCGTGCCAACTTCACTCCAGAGATTGATTCCATAAAGACCTGCTCTTCGTCTCTGGAAGCAAGTTTGGCTAAGACTCATTTTGTGAAGTGCTGGACCAGATATTCTTCAGCAAACCTTCTGTCTCATATATCACTTTAAGACTTTTATATATACAAAGATAAAAATAAGTGCCAATAGCTAAAATTTATTGAGTACCCACTGTGTGCCAAGCCCTGTCTACAGGCTTTGACTGCTGGGTTCGAATCCTGGTTCTCCAATTAGCTTGCTGGGGAACTTTGGGCACTTTGCCCTCTCTGAGCCTCCCGTCCTGTCTCCTGCAACTATATTGTTTTAGTAGCACTTCATCTATTTCGGCTGTCTCTCTTGCTAGCTCATGCCTTGAAATACATGCTGCAGGCCACGCATTCCACCTGAATTGTATGAGGCAGTCCAGCATGGTTAGTGGGGACTGTGGACTGAATGCTCACTCTGCCATTTATTATGTGTATGACCTCAGGCAAGTTTTCTCAGGTTAAAGTGGCTCCAAAGATACTTGCTGCCTTCTCAGGTTCTCAAGAGGATAAATGGGGTAGTGCCTAATGGAAGGTGCTCAGATCCCTGTCTAGCACCCAGACAGTGCTCACTGTAGCATTGTTACTGGCTGGTCCTCATGTGCTCACCTACTTAATGGAATCTCTTCACACCCTAAGGAGCAAGGCAGGATTGCTGCTTACCTTGTAGATTGCGGGGACTCGGCAGTCTGTTGCCTTACCAAGCACCTCACTTAACTGCCTTATAAATAAAGGTCACAAGTCTGAAGCCTGTGTGTTGTCAGTTGCCTGGGAGCTGGATGATGTAAATAGGTAATGACTGCAGGGAAAGG